TAAGCCTTTTTTTCATTTCCTCCATTTACTCAATTCTCTACGAATCTTCACCATGACCTTTTGTACACCCAAGCAGACGTTCGGTGTACTAGGCGAGAATTTAAGATAGGAAAGCTTTACTTACGATAAACGTATAAATCTCCTTATCAATCCGAAACGTTTACATGCTAGTTCTAATATCGTAGTCATACGCTTAGAATCCTACACACATAAGGTTTCCAGATCCGGTCGGCAACAGACCATGGATCCGAACAAATAATAGCATTAATATAGCTATCACACAAAACATTTAGCACATAAAAGCATTTTAGGCATTATTCCTAAAATAAACTAGTGCTTGTGTCAATTTAGGTGTACTACTTAACATATTTTAGACACACTCCTCACGATCATCACTTAGCATTCTAAGTTTAAGTCTAGAAATTTCCTACAAATTCCTAGTTCGTTTAAACTAATGCTCTGATACCAACTGTGACATCCCCATTTTCACGGCCAGAAAAGACCGATTTGCTTATGCTTTGTTTTAAAAATCAGAGTAATCTTTTAAAGAAAACAGTTGCGGGATTTGTCCCAAAACAAAATATGATAACCATTTATCAAAATATTTCTCAAAGAGAATGTATTTTCATTTAAATAATAAAACCTCGGGATGTCATGTTCCGATACAAACCAAAAGCATAAACAGAACAGATTAGAGCTTACAACAGTTATTTATAACTACTGGCCTATAATCCATTATCTCTCGTCATGTCAACCAACTTATGCTCTCGAGCCACAACCTGTAATACAAAGAAAACTGAGTGGGTCAGGCTTGGGAGCCTGGTGAGCATATAGGGTTTTCAACCCACAATAATATAATTATTATATTCACTTATCAAACAATCGATCCAATTACCCACCCGCATTATCTTCTTTATTTCTTAAGGTGTTACCCTAAGAATCAACTATCCTTCCTTCATTCATTCCTAAGGATTGACCTAAGGAATTGGCACAATGCCCATTGCTACATGAGGCACGTCTGCCAGGTTTATGTCATTTTCTTCTAGGCGCATCGGCCGACATTATCCTTTAAGCGCATCTGCCAGGATGTTACGACATTCACTATTTGGCGCATCTGCCGACATTATCCTATAAGCGCATCTGCCAGGATTATGCTATAAGCGCATCTGCTAGTATTATGACATTATCTATTTGGCGCATCTGCCAACATTATCCTATAAGCGCATCTGCTAGTATTATGACATTCTCTATTTGGCGCATCTGCCGACATTATCCTATAAGCGCATCTGCCAGGATTATCCTACAAGTGCATATGCTAGTATTATGACATTATCTATTTGGTGCATCTGCCAAAATTATTCTTAATCATCTTTCGTTCCTCATCACTTATCTACCCATGTTTTCCCTAACATATTCGTAGATATAATATACATATACAGTTTATCTCATTTAAAAACTATATAAAACATCCACACCACACTCGTCTCAAATAAACAACAATATATAAACACATAACACGTATTTCATAGCAAATACTTCATATTTATGTGTTAGAAGAAAGTAACTACACATTCACTCCAAACATATACTTAATACATTCAAACAATACTTGTATTAAAATCGTGTTTATGAAAGGGACTATACACTCACTTGATAAGACGATGCTCGGACAGCACTACGGCTCTCCAAGTAGTAACTCTTCGGTGAAACCGGGATATCTTCACACATCGGGTTTCTCGCGGACAGAGCTTCGGCTTGGAAACTCTTTTCTTCTCGGGATCTTCGGGCTTCGGGACTTGCTTCAGGTCTCGAGATGATATCGGGGCTTCAGGAGTGCTTCAAGACAGCTAGAGAGGGTCTCGGGAGTGAGAGAGTAAAGGAAATAGCAACCAAAAACCGACTGCCCTTCAATTCTATTTATAGGGCTGATTTCTCATTTTCCACGTCGTGGGCACTGTTTCCACGTCGTGGGCTTGGTCGTCACTGCATGCGTCATCGCAAGTTGGGTCTGGCAGACTGCAGGAGGCGTCAGAAGTCATGCCACGTCGTGGGCACTGTTTCCACGTCATGGCCACTGACTGTTTTGGGGTTTCGCGCCCCGAACTTCAGTAATTCATAACTTTCGCATACGAACTCCGTTTTCGATGTTCTTTATATCGACGCGTAGGTGAGAATATGCTCTACAACTCTAATTTAGACTCCGTTGGCTAATTTTGACTTTATTTTTAATATATTATAAATATATTACTTTTATATCATTTTTAGTAGGCCGGGACAGAAAAACTCTGTTCGAAATTCATAACTCCTTCATCTGAACTCCGTTTTCGTCTGTCTTTTTAACGATGGACTAATATCGACGAGATCTTCGACTCTCATTTAGATTGTTTCGGCTAAAAACCGCTCGATCTCAAATCGAGTATTCGGGCTGCATACCGCTAAGTCGAAACTTCAGAAAATCATAACTTCCTCAAACGAAGTCAGATTTGGGCGTTCTTTTTATGCACGCTCTCGGTTTAACGAACTCTACAACATTTATTTAGATCACTAAGGCTAAATATCGCTCTATCATAATTCACATTTTACGTCGCGCTGTGTCGTGCCGGTTCTGTCGAGAAACTTCGACAGGTCATAACTTCTTCGTTATAACTCGGATTTCGGCGTTCTTTATATGTACGGAATCCTTGTAACATATACTAAAACTTTGTTAAGATTATTCATTCTAAATAATCTTCTATCAAAAAGTCATTTTTGACGCTTATCGTCTCTAAATTGACTAGCACGGATCTGAGGGCGTTACAATCTTGGGGAAAACTTACTTGAGCTCGGCCGTTTGCGCACATCACACACCTTGTTCTTTTCTCAAAACTTCTTACTTAAACATTAGGAAAACATTTTTCTTGTGAAAAACCTTTCAAACCCTCGGTTTGAGTCCATACACCCTCGAAGGTGTGTTCGAATCCCTCAAACCAAGGCTCTGATACCAACTTGTAACATCCCAATTTTCAAGGCCAAAAATTTTGTTTTTAATTAAGTGACTTATAAAAATCGTTTAACAAAAACAGTGTCGATAACATAGCAATCCATAAACCATAATAAACATGTCTCAAATCATATCATCAAATAGTAATGAAATCATAGTACAATCCCATAATCTCATAGTGCGGAAATCTGGTGTGCGTGTGATGTGCCGCTACTGCGCCGGCTTCTTCCCCTTCGCTGAAGAGGCACCTGAAACAAAATTGAAAACTAGTGAGTTCCCCCATCATACCACATACCATACAATCACATAGCATACATACTTCTGGGCAGTTCTGGGGTGCCCGACCTACCCTGTCAAGCAGTTCTTGGGTGCTGACCTACCCATGTCAAGCAGTTATGGGGTGCTGACCTACCCTTCGGTCCTAACAACCGGACTTTGGGGACTATTTCACCCCCTACTACTACTACCACATATATCATAATATAATCATATTGTAAGGCATATCTAGGGTGCACAACCTACCCTTCGGTCCTAACAACCGAACTTGGGGACTATTCCCCTCCTACTACTACTATCACATATAACATATCATGCTAGCACATAAACATACCAGGTAGTAGCAAACCAGACAATTATCACAAAGACAATCATCTCAACTATAATCAACTACTAGTGGGCCGACCTTGGTGCCTTAGACCCACTTCTACTGGAAGGTAACTCACCTCGATGTCGTGTAGTGTCTGGACTGTCCTCGGTATGTAAATCAACTCGTCTCAACTCCTCAATCCCTACACAACAACCTTTCTCGATTACTATTTCATACTCATAACCCCTTACAAGGGTCACCTCAAGTCCAAGTCAAAGTCAAGGTCAAAATCCTGGTCAAAGTCAACATCCGGTTGACTCGACTCGCCGAGTTGGTCTCCCAACTCGTCGAGTCCCCACTTCCATAAAATGCTACACCCTGAATCTACTCGCCGAATCTAGCAAGATGTCGACGAGTTCCCCTTCAACCAAAACATTGGGACCTTCTTCAACCGACTCGCCGAGTTCATCCTTGAACTCGTCGAGTTCATCTTCATCCGAATGAAGGCGTCTAGTCTATGACTCGTCGAGTTCTCCTTGAACTCGTCGAGTCCGTCTTCATGGGGTTGGGACATTGCCTTGAACTCGCTGAGTTAGTTCATACACTCGTCGAGTTCTATGATTTCCAGGTCCCTAATGAGCCTAGACAACTGAGTGATCTTCTATCTTAGCATCTGGTCCATCAACAGAAAGGATTTTATGGGAAATACGACCCGACTCGCCGAGTCCCTCTTTGTCCAAAACTATACAGTCGATTTCAGTGGGTCTTAATGCATCCAAACCATAGATCTGACCTCCTAGGGTCCATATTATACGTAAAGCTACGAACTTGTTGTCCATGCATGGGGTATTTGGCTCAAAAAGTCATGAAAAGAGGTTTATAAGATGCATGGGCTTCCCATGGCCTTAAAGTTGGCACCTTTATGCCATGGGAACCCCCCAATGGTTCCAGATCTGAAGTGTAACTCCATGATACACACCCAATCCCGAATATGGCCTTACAAAGCTTAGAAAAGGGTAGAAATGACCCCTAACTAGAGATCTAAGAGTTGGATGGTTAAGGTTGATTCTTTTTACCTTGAATAAACTGAGAATGAATCAAAACCTCTGGATCTACTAGCCTTCTCTTGATCTTCCAAGTATACTCTTCCTTCTCAAGCCTCTAACACACACAAAAATGGCACCAAGAGCTCAAGGTTACTCAAAATCGATTAGGGTTTCGTGAGGGTGATCTGAGGGTGTTGGAGGCTGTAAAGGAAACCAGTTAAGGTGTTTAAATAGGGTGCAAACCCTAAATATTAGGGTTTCCTCCAGGCAGTCCTACTCGTCGAGTAGTTTACTTAAACCCAGCGACCATAATCCAGTCTACTCGACGAGTAGGGCCTCCAACTCATCGAGTCATAGTGTAAAACATGCAATTATTTGAATGAAAAATATGTACTGGGAACCGGGTGCTACAAACAGTCTTCATGAAAATCCTGGTTCTAACTTGAAGTTAAGATTAATCGGAAAAAGAGAACAAGATGGAAGGATATATAACTTACCAACTTCTTCTGAGGTAGTTGCTTTAATTGTCGGTGACATTTGTGATTTAATTGAAAAAAGAGACATCATTGTTGAAACCTCATCAGGATTACTAAAGTGTATCAGTGAATTACATCTTTCTTACCTTGCTCTTCAGTATCCATTACTATTTCCATATGGTGATGATGGTTACAGAGTTGACATCCTTCATAGAGGTATTACATCTTCAACTAACAGCAAGAACCCAACTTGTACAATGAGAGAATTTTTTGCTTACAGAATTCAAGATTGAGATCAATCGTTCTCACTACTTCTTAATGCAAAATTGTTGTTCCAAAAATTTTTGGTTGATGGTTATACCATGATTGAAAGCGAGAGATTATTTTTCATACGTAAGCAACAAAAAATTCTTAGATGTGAGTCATATGAGAATTTGCGTAATCACCAAGCACGTGGTAGTACAGATATTTCGAACGTTGTTCAACGTGTGATTTTACCTTCTTCATTTACCGGTGGTGCACGTTATATGATGCAAAACTATTTGGATGCCATGTCGCTATGTAAATGGTTTGGATATCCAGATTTTTTCATAACCTTTACATGTAATCCAAAATGGCCAGAAGCTCAAAGGTTTCTTAAGGACACTCCACTTCATCCTGAAGATAGACCGGATATATTATGTAGGTTATTTAAGATTAAGTTGGATGCATTTATTAATGATTTAAGGGAAAATGAAATTTTTGGCAAGGTTCAAGCAGGTATTTGAAATTATACTTTAATATATATATATATATATATATATATATATATATATATATATATATATATATATATATATTTCTATATCTTCTTTAGTTGCTAACTTCCATCCTATTTGTATATTTTTATATGCAGTGGTTTACACAATTGAATTTCAAAAAAGAGGTCTGTCTCATAGTCATATATGTCTGTTTATGCATTCTGTCTGCAAGCTTCCTACAATTGAATATATCGATCCAATTATTCCTGCTGAGATTCCAAATATTGATGAAGATCCAGAATTGTATTCACTTGTCAAGGAGTTCATGATTCACGGTCCATGTGGAGCTGAAAATTTCAATTGCCCATGCATGGTGGACAGAAAGTGTTCTAAAAACTTTCCAAAGCAATTCTGTAATCATACTTCAGTTTATTCAGATGATTTTCCCTTATATAGGAGAAGAAATGATGGAAATTTTGTTGAAAAATCTGGTGTTCAGTTAGATAACAGAAATGTTGTTCCATACAACAAATATTTGTTAAAAAGATATCAGACACACATTAATGTTGAATGGTGCAATCAAGGATCTTCTATAAAATATTTATTTAAATATATAAACAAGGGTCCTGATAGAGCGACGGTTGCTATGGTGCAAAGCAATAATGATTCTGATAACAACGATGAAGTGGATGAAATCAAAGAATACTATGATTGTAGATATATATATATATATATATATATATATATATATATATATATATCTACATGTGAAGCATCATGGAGAATTTTTAAATATGATGTTCATTATAGGCATCCTGCTGTGATTAGATTACCTTTTCATTTGCCTGGTCAACAACAAGTTGTATATGAGGCAGACGATGATATTCAAGATGTTCTTGACCGGCCTTCAGTTGCTTCTTCAGTGTTCATATCTTGGATGAAGTGTAATGAGATCAATAAAGAAGCACGAAAACTTACATATGTTGAATTTCCTACCAAGTTTGTTTGGAAACCTAAACTTCAAACTCGGAAGCCAAGGGAAGTTGGATTTTCTATTGGTAGAATTCACTCCGTTTCACCTAAGCTTGGCGAAGCATATTTTTTAAGAATTCTTTTAAATAAAGTGAAAGGTCCAAGATCCTTCAAAGAAATTCGCACGGTCAATGGTGAAGTTTGTTCTTCTTTTAAAGATGCATGCTATAATCTGGGCCTTTTGGATGATGACAAAGAATACATCGAAGCAATTAAGGAAGCAAGTCTTTTTGGATCTGGTTTTTATCTACGTTTCTTATTTGCTATGATGTTATTGTCCAGCAGTTTGTGTAAACCAGAGATTGTGTGGGAAAACACATGGGAATACCTGTCAGATGGAATTCTTTATACTCAACAAAAGAGATTAAAGTCTCCAGATATTATATGTTTATTACATTATTATTAAAATTGTATCATATAAATTTCCAATATGCACTCAATTACATTTTACGTCCCACTTAATCTCTTTTTTAATATGTTGTAACTAATATAGTATTGTTCGTATAGGTTTATCACTAAACAAAGATCAAATTAAAAACTTGATTTTGTTTGAGATAGAACAAATTTTACTCCGAAACAGTTCCAGTCTCAAGAACTATAGAAGGATGCCTTACCCAGATGCTGATTTGGTTTCATCTTCAAACAATCCTTTGATAGCCGAGGAGCTAGATTATGACATACCAAATTTGAAGAATGAGTTTGATCAGCTTTTTGTTTCATTAACCGACGAGCAACACAACATTTTTCTTGATATAATGGCTAAGGTTAAAAATAATAAGGGAGGTGTATTCTTTATTTATGGTTATGGTGGAACGGGTAAGACATTTCTCTGGAAGACAATTTCTGCAGCAATTAGATGCCAAGGAGAGATTGTTTTAAACGTTGCTTCAAGTGGGACCGCTTCATTATTATTGACTGGAGGCAGGACAGCACACTCTCGATTTATAATTCCCATAAATCTTACCGAGGATTCTTTTTGTAGAATAAATCCAAATAGTGATCTTGTGAGTTTAGTAAGAAAAGCCTCATTGATCATTTGGGATGAAGCACCCATGGTACACAAGCATGCATTTGAAGCTTTATATCAAACTTTGAAGGATATATTACGATTTGTCGATCCTACAAACTCAAATATTCCATTTGGAGGGAAAGTGGTTGTTTTTGGAGGTGATTTCAGACAAATTCTACCTGTTGTTCCGGGTAGCAGTAGACAAAACATTGTCAACGCTTCTTTAAGTTCTTCGTATTTATGGCAACAATGCAAAGTCCATAAATTAACAAAAAAACATGAGGTTAACTGTTGGAAGCGATTCATCTGTTGTTGATCGAATAAGGGGTTTTTCAAACTGGCTTTTGGACATATGAGAAGGTAATCTTGGTGGTCCGAATGATGGTGAAACAATTGTTGATATTCCTGAAGATTTTCTCATTAATGATCCATGTGATCCTATAGGTTCATTAATCAATTTTGTATATCCTTTGATTCTTGAAAACTTCAACATTACGGGTTATTTTCAAGAAAGAGCAATACTTGCTCCCAAGAATGAAGTTGTCCAAGAAATAAATGATCGGTTGCTAAAACTGATTCCAGGAGAGCAAAAAGAATATTTAAGTTCAGACAGCCTCTGCCAGTCTGAGTTTGTTCATGATCAGTTTGATGCAAATTTATACTCACATGATGTTTTAAATGGTCTTAAAGTCTCAGGTATGCCAAACCATCCAGTTATGTTATTGAGAAACATTGATCAGAAAAATAGCTTATGCGATGGCACTAGACTACAGGTCAAATCTTTGTGCAAACGTGTTATTGAGGCAGTTACATATCTGGAAGTAATATTGGAAACCGGACTTTTATTCCAAGAATGTCTCTAACTCCTACTGAAAACAAGATCCCGTTCAAATTTCAAAGAAGACAATTTTCATTGGCTGTATGTTTTGCAATGATAATTAATAAGAACCAAGGACAGTCTTTATCGAAGGTTGGTTTGTTTCTCAATGATCCTGTTTTTACACATGGTCAATTGTACGTTGCTTTATCCAGAGTTCAAATTAGAGAAGGATTAAAATTGTTAATTTTAGATAAGGATAGTAGACTATCAAATAAAACATCCAACGTTGTGTATAAAGAAGTTTTTAGAAATTTATAAAAACTTTGTACAATTTTATTATTTATATCAATTTATTTATTTTTTATTTAAATTTTGATTCAATTATACAAAAATGATATTTTCCTAACATATCTACAAATGCAAATTGTCGATCAGATATATAAACTACTATTCTTTTGTAATTTTAACGAATCATCATATAATTATGACATGACTGATAAAACATTTATATTTATTACTTATTAAAAATTTTATTCTTATTCTATAATTATTAGTATTACTATAAATAATATTATTTTTAATTTTTTCATCCGTGGTGTCCACGGGTTATAACCTAGTAAAAGAATAGTTTTATTCTCTTTTTGACATGTGTCACTATATTAGGCTTTATAATTAATGCATTCTTTTGTCATGTGTCACTCTATTATGTTTCCTAATTATACAAAAATGATATTTTCCTAACATATCTACAAATGCAAATTGTCGATCAGATATATAAACTACTATTCTTTTGTAATTTTAACGAATCATCATATAATTATGACATGACTGATAAAACATTTATATTTATTACTTATTAAAAATTTTATTCTTATTCTATAATTATTAGTATTACTATAAATAATATTATTTTTAATTTTTTCATCCGTGGTGTCCACGGGTTATAACCTAGTAAAAGAATAGTTTTATTCTCTTTTTGACATGTGTCACTATATTAGGCTTTATAATTAATGCATTCTTTTGTCATGTGTCACTCTATTATGTTTCCTAATTATACAAAAATGATATTTTCCTAACATATCTACAAATGCAAATTGTCGATCAGATATATAAACTACTATTCTTTTGTAATTTTAACGAATCATCATATAATTATGACATGACTGATAAAACATTTATATTTATTACTTATTAAAAATTTTATTCTTATTCTATAATTATTAGTATTACTATAAATAATATTATTTTTAATTTTTTCATCCGTGGTGTCCACGGGTTATAACCTAGTAAAAGAATAGTTTTATTCTCTTTTTGACATGTGTCACTATATTAGGCTTTATAATTAATGCATTCTTTTGTCATGTGTCACTCTATTATGTTTCCTAATTAATACATGCTAGTTGTCAACCTATTGATTCTCCGTTATAAATTTCAAATTTTAAAATTTTCCACTCTAATTACATTAAATTAATAACATTAGAATAAAAATTAAAATAAAATTAACACAAATTATAAAGTGAAATAATTTTATAAATTTATTTAAATCAATTATTATAATTTTATATATTTATTAAAATAAATAATTAATAATTTTAAATTTTTAGTATTAAAATTTAATTAATTTTATAACCGTGGTTTCCACAAGTTATAAACTAGTTTTATTAAATAAACCTGGATGGCTAACGATGGACAACACAAAGAAAACCCCTTTGACGTCACATATTACTCAAAAACTAAATTAAAAGAAATGCGTAAAGTTACTAAACCAAATCTAAGCCTAACTCTTCCGATTTATTATATTATAAAATCAAAAATATTAAAAATAACTAAAAAACAAATATTTCGGATATCAACTTCGATTTTCGGATATTTAAATTTTCAAATATCTAAAATTCCAAATGATTTTGAACTCAGATTTTTTTATAAGGATTTCCAGATACATATATATTAGAACATCCTACTCAAAACTTGAGAGATTGTAGGTGTAACTTGGAGGGGGTGCTCAAGATAATATTTTCTATTGATGTTGTTACATTATCTTATCCAAATTAGAAAAATGTTAAATATATATATAATTTAATTTAGCCATACAAAACAGAAAATGTTAGATACTACTATGTTGGTGTGTAATGTAATTTAGCCATATCCAAACAGACATTACAAAAGCATTCAAAAGTTACTGTTCAATTTTAATCAAAAAAATGAACATTAGCATTTCCGAATCATAGAACTAATAATTTCCATTTTGCATAAGAAATCAAAAGAAGTAAAATAAATCCATAAAGAGAACTTGTCTAATATGCAAGCATGTGAATTAGCAAAAGTGTATCATCTATCATTGGATAGTCGGTCATAAGTTAAATTAAATACTTGAAACACAAAGAAACCACATGCTTAAAAAAAAACAACAAACCATCATATCTTTAATTCCTACAAGGTCATATGATGCCTTATCAGACCACGTTCTTCATCCAACTGAAAGTTACCTTTAAGAAAATCTGCACTCGTAAAAAACGGCTTCAAATCCGTTATTCCAAGATCCGAAACCTGCACACAAACACAACATCATCCACAATCAGTCAGCATGCATACATGGTATTGATATATACACATGGCATACATACCTTGGTTTGCAACTCCTCCACCTTGACATCAATATACCCAACATTTTTTCTAGTCCCTGAAACAATCTCTTCAAAGTGCAAAGCCTCCTTCACCAACTCATTCAACTTAAGCAACACAAGCCTATTGAAATCTTTCTTGTACGTCATATACTTCTTAAAGCTCTGCATCACCCACAGTTTATATTTTTATTTTTATTTTTATTTTTAAAAAAAAGACATATCTTATAGGTAAAAGTTAAAATCAGAAACAAAACAAAGCTATATCAAAAAAAAAAAAAAAAAAAACATACCTTCTGTAAAGCCTTTTGCACGCCAAACTTCTGTGTGGAAATGAACGAGTCAAGCAAGACACGAATGGCCATGTCAACATCTTCTTGAATCACATTTGACCTCAAATGCATTCTTGCATGAGCTTCCGACATTCTTATCATTGATTCTATGTGTCTCACTGCTATTGGTACCCCTTGACCATGCTACACATTGTATTAACATACAATTAAATACATTTTAACATTGTAACCCGAAAAATAAAACACTTTTTGAATCACAAAACTCACTGATGATTCTCTTCTTAACTCAGCATAAACTTGTGTAAGTTTGTCCAAATCAGCATCATGCAATTTTGGGAAAATGTGTAATTTCGCAAACGTTATGTACTTCTTCAGCGTGTCTTGAGGAAGTATCTGAATAAAAAACAAACTTTAACAAATCAAAAAACACAAAACCTAAGGGCAGTTGTGTCATTTTTGTGGTACCTCAGGATCCATCATCATGGCAGAGGCATCAATGTCTTCTTGGGAATTGTTCATGGATTTGTCATCCAAGTTGGCACCTTTCGCTTGGGATTTGAAGTGACTATCAACCACAAACTTAGCAAGCATTTCATCCATCACAGGGTCAACCACATCCTGTATTTGTATTAAACCATGTTTGTTAATACTTAATATATATTG